AGAAATTGCTCAGAATTGGAAGTCTCTCTTTGGCCCAAGGTAACATAAAGTTAACAATTTAAATGTATTTCAAGAAGATTTTCTTCTTGGTTTCTGCATACATATGGCATGCATATGTATATATACACATATCTATATACACACATATAGATATGTGTGTGTATGTATGGACATCACACATTTTCTCTATTGTAAAAGTGTCATTTTACAATATATGCTGTTTCCAGTGTGCTTTTTAATTTAATATACGATGTGTTCAATAAACATTACACGAATAAGCCATAATTTTATTTACTCAGCTCCCTGTTAGAGGACATTGGGATTGATCCCAATACCTGTTTATCTGCGGAAGGCATCATTGAAGTACACACAGAAAATGCAGCGCATGGCTGCCATCAATGGACTCCATGTACTCAAACGCACTAGTGACACCTGCATGCGGCGAAGGGATGCTCTGGTGTGTGTTGTGGATACTCTGGGAACACATTAAGAGATGAGCAACTTTCAGACAATGTGTTTGGGGGCCCTGTGGGGATAGAGGTGACTCTCCTGCACCGGTGTGGTTGTTATGGCATATCTCATCTTAAGTCCCCAACAAGGCAGCTGCTCTGAGGTAGGATCCCACCCAACAGTGGTGACAGAGGGTCAGCACTGGTTTCTATATGGAACGGGAAATGAATCTGCTTCAGGTACTTTGTAGAAGTAAAGAATGTTGGCGGGCGAGGCGGGGAGGGTAGAGATGGAGGGCAGGAAAAATGGAAGGAAAAAAATGCAAGTCTCCCGGAAACACAACAAATCAAAGAAAGGCTGGACAAATGGGATTGTATAAGGTTGCAGAGCTTCTGCAGGGCAAATGACATAGCTAGCAAGATCAATAGAAAGCCCACGGACTGGGAGAAGATCTTTACTAGCCATACAACGGACAAGGGTCTCATATCTAAAATATACTTGGAACTCAAAAAATTAAACCACCCAACAACAAATCCTCAAAGAAACAACTGCCCAATAAGTAAGTGGGCGAAAGACTTAAAGAGAAGCTTCTCTGAAGAAGAAAGAAGGATGGCCAATAGACACATGAAGAAATGTTCAACATCCCTAGCCATAAAAGAAATGCAAATCAAAACAACATTGAGATATCACCTCACTCCAGTTAGAACAGCAAAAATCAAGAACTCTAACAACAACAGATGCTGGAGGGGATGTGGACAGAAAGGAACCTTACTTCATTGTTGGTGGGAATGTAAACTTGTTCAACCACTTTGGAAAGCAGTATGGAGGTTCCTCAAAAGACTCCACATAGAGCTCCCCAATGACCCAGCAATCCCACTTTTGGGCATTTACCCAAATGATCACAAACAAGGCCACACTAAAGCTACCAGCACAACTATGTTTATTGCAGCATTATTTACCATAGCTAAGACATGGAACCAACCCAGATGCCCCTCAGTAGATGAATGGATCAAGAAGATGTGGTATATATACACAATGGAATTCTATGCCTCCATCAGAAAGAATGACATTTCCCCATTTGTTAGGAAATGGAAAGGCTTGGAAAAAATTATATTAAGTGAAGTAAGCCAGGCCCAAAGAAACATAGGTCCCATGGTTTCCCTTATTTGCAATATCTAGTATAGGTATGAGTCAAGCGGAAAAAGTCAGATAATGTGATGTTAGGAAAACGAAACCTCAAATATGTATTTTAATGTTTTTGTTTCTTTCATGCATGTGTTTCTAACGCATTTATAAGATTATTTCTTTGTTGCTTTGTATGTCCCTCCCCCACAGTGTAACCCCCGCTTTCACTATATTTGATGTCAGTATAACATGTGGAGGAGATGGGGACAAACAAGTCGTTTAAGGATTCAGGTGGACCTGTTGCAACAATGAGAAGTACAAAAAGTCATGTCAAAACCAGCTTTACAATGTCGGTGGGGGGGGGGGAAGGGGGGGTATGATTGGGTGGGAGGGAGGGGGGAGGCTGGGAAGGGAGGTGAAGGGTAAACAAAGGAGGAGGCTGCAATGCTTGGTAAGAAATGTATGCATTATCCTGCCCATGTAATTGTAACCCCTCTGTAGAGTATGTTCTCAAATAAAATAAAATAAAATTTAAAAAAAAAAAAATGCAAGTCTCTCTTTGGACGCCTCTTGCCTGCTTCGACCAGGTGGTAACTGGAGTCTCGGTAAGGGCATGATATACGTCAGGTTTCAATTCCTTGAGTGTCCTGAGGTTTGAAGGCACAGTGGTCTACTTCCTGCCAGATACTGGAAGGTGGTTACTCCCCGGTCAATCAAAGGAGGCCTGAAATTACACACACCCATGACAGCAAGAAGTTCGTTGCGCTTGTTACCGTCCACCTAACAGTGCCCACAGTGTGTGAGGAGCAGTGGTAGGGTGATGCCATAGCAGATTGAGCGTGAGGGACCAGGACAGTTGGGAGCAGTGTCTCAGACCTCACCTGGCCCTGGGCACAATCATACCAGCCCCGGTCACAATGGCTGCACCAGGCTCCAGAAACCCAGCTCAGTGCTTCCCATGTGCTAGGGGGGAGAAGGGGCTTTGGTGCGTTTCCCTCTTTACAAGAAAAGTGCTTAAACATGATTTTTTTTTTAGCTCTCCAGGGTTGGTGGACAGGGGAGAACAATTAGACCACAGACTGAGCCCTACAAACCAAAAGGGGGCAAAATCCCTAGACAATGGTGCTGCGGCTGGGGTCGGGAGCGGATATGATAGCAAGGAAGGAGTTTCAGTGTGAATGAATACTAATTAGTGACATGGATATTAATGATGACAGTAATTAACAGGGGAAAGGAAGGGCTGTCATTGTCCCAGGGTGAGTAATCAATCTTGGCAGGTGATAAATAATGGTTGAGCAAGCTCAGCAGAAAGATAATCCTCGGGCCCTGGGGAGGGCTGGAGTGAGGCTGGAAACCTTGCAGTTTCCAGGCAACCCACAGAAAAGAACTATTTTTCTTTTGAGGAAAAAAAAAAACCAGGTTACAGTTTCCCCCCCCCCCCCCCGCCACCACCATCCCCCCCAACACACACACCCCCAGTCCCCAATGTGGGATTATAGTTCTTGTGGGATTATAGTTCTTGTTTGATTTCTGCATTGTTCGACATTTCCTAGGACAAATGTTGAACTTGTGTAATTTGGAGGAAATCAACACACTCTCTCTTTTTTTCTCTCTCTCAAAGAATATGAATAAATGGAAGTATTTTTTTGACCCAAAGTTTAGCTGATAGATGCCATCTGGGAGCCAGGGCTGGAAGAAGCTTAGAAGTCCTGTTTTTTGAGGTTGAAATGTAAAGAAATGCTGAAGGCTGAACTGAGGGGATGGGAGCTCAGGAAGAGTGAGATGGGGTATGGGCAGCCTTACTGGGCAGTGCCTTCACACACGCACACACACACACACACACACACACACACACAGCCAGACAGAAATGGAATGTCTAGGCCCTCCAGCCTATACTGGTTCCTTGGCCATTGGTTAGATTTCTAAGAAACTTGACTTGTAGGGAAAGGGCACTGTTGCTTAAAATTCTCTGATGGTCTCCAGTCATCCATCTGAGAACCCAGCCCAGGAGTGGATGGAGCAGAGCATACTCTACCTCCCACTAAGGCCCCACACGTACAGCAGGATGCAGAAGTCTGAGAATGCCACCCCTGTGAGACAGTTCTCCATCAAGCACTCCACTTGAGGGGACAGCCTCTTTCAAGGCTGGGCATTACTGGAAGGTGAAATTGACCAGTGTTCAGAAACCTTCCAGGAAGTTGGACTTTTCACTGTTAAAACATGGGTTCCAAGTACCCTGTTTTCAAAAGGAAACAAGCAAAAGGGCGCATGTTCATGCAGTGAACCATGATGAAAATGGTGAAGAACTCCAGGCCGTATCTGAAGGACTGCTCTCCCAAAGTGGTTGTGTCTGTGTTTAGGTCTGCTCTTCTATTATCAAAAGGCAAAACTAAAGCCAAATGAGAAGTATAACCTTTTGTTAAGAGAAAACTGGAACAGGTTGCTTTACCGGTAGAGTCTTGGGAGTTCCAAGATACTGGGGCTCTTCTGAATCTCTTGTCCAAGTGTTTAGATGAGATGAGTATCAAATTGGGTTGAAGTAAATAAGTTTTGAAATTCTATTGACTCTTATGATTTTAGATATTAGTTAAGGTAGCACTATGTGCCTCAATAGATAACTCTCAAATTTCAGGGGATTACCACAACCAAGTTTATCCTTCAGTGGGATAAACTCAGTGGGAACATCATAGTTGGAGCCACGGCTCCTTCCCTATTATGGCTCTGATCAATACCCCAGATTCCCAGAGTCCTCTCTACTCAAAGATGGGGAAGGCAAGGGTGGGTGGAACGTGGAGAGCCACTGGCTAGGCCATTTCTGCTCACACCCCATTGACAGAACTCAGTCCATACCCAACAGCAGAGGAGCCAGGAACTGTGATCAAGCTTAGACCCAGGAGTAGACAAAGGAAGTTTTGCAGGATAGAGAGAAGTGTCTGACACAGATTCAGGGGTACATTGATCCAGGGTAGGCCCAAGCTAGAAGAAATGGGACAGCCTTGCAAGAACCTTGTCAGGAAAGGCAGGAAGCTGAAGAAAGCAATGATAAAATAATGGTGAGGATGAGGATGAGGATGATGAGGATTAGGAGGTAAGAGGAGGAAGAGGAGGAGGAGGAAGAGGATAACGCAGAGCTTCATCTGGCCTGCCTTGGGGAACTCATTGAAATCTGTATTCCCAGGAAGTTTCCTTAAGCTGCCCCCCAGAAATGTGGCTATAACCTGAGTCACCAAAATGAGTTTTGGGGGAAAAGGATATAATAGTAATGATAGAAAATACCAGTAGATAGAAAGGATTGATTACAATGGAAAACTCTTACTATCCCGCAGCTCTCAGGCTGTGTACTGATGGGAAATAGGGTTCTCTTAGCTAAGCCCCGGGGTTAAGCACCCACAAGGTCTTCAGTAGACACTGTTTTGTCATTGCAGGTACTGATGTTGTACAGTGGCTTATGAAGAACCTCTCCATTGAGGACCCAGGTAATTGACCTTTGACCCTACCTTTACCTCCCCTGGTTTTAATGCCAACGTCTAAATCAAGCTGTCCTTCTGTCTTGAAAACTGGATGCTGCAGTGTGGACTCCCAAGATGTGGCATCACCCTATTTACAAAATAAAAATTAATTTATTTTCTTCCCCAAATATCTATCTTCATATTTAAATCACCCTTTGAGGAAATGAGCAACTATTTAGAATGCCAAAGAGCTCAATACAATAGCGTGCGAAATGAGATGAATTCTCGTTAGCGGCAGGCAATTAAAGATAAGTTGTAGCCTGTCGCTGAGCAGCCTTCTAGAGCCAGCTCTTAAAATTAGATTGCCTGATCCACAATTAAGATGTTTAATTATTTGCAAAGACTCCTTCTGTTTTCTGCTTCTGCAAGAAGTGAAGGAATGATGGAGGTTTTTCTTTTTTTTTTCCCCAGCTCTAATTGTGCATTTCAATTAGACAAATTCTACTAAGAAAAACAACAACAAAACTCTGACTAGTAAGACACTTTGCAAATCTGTCCTCCCACCAGAAAGTAAACAGAAAAATGTGTTTTCACAGTATAACTAGGAGGAAAAAATGAAAATTGTAGATAAGTAAAGCTAATTATCCATGTGCTATTAGTGAATGCTACTTTGAATGTATAAAGCACTTCTTTGGCTCACTAGGGTGTTCTTGATCACTGAAGGTCACATTTATAAAGATCCACTAGTATGAATCTGCTTTGGTGTTCTTGATGGCTGTTGGGAGTGATTAGAACTATTTACTTCAAATTAAGTGGTCCCTATCTACCATGTTTTCTGAGGGTTTCTTTTCCAAGAGCCTCCCCTAGACATCTGACCTTGAGTTGTGGACCTTATTGGGAGTGGGATGTCTCTTCAGGCTTTCTAGTGTTTTAAATGATGTTGCTAATCTATTCTTGACTATTGGATGCTGGAATTTATAATTCAATTAAATGTACTTGCCAGAACTCTGAGACTCTGAAAAGCAGGTCATTCAGAGAAACAATGCTAGCCCACATTGATAACTAGCACAACACACACACACACACACACACACACACACACACACACACACACACACAAAATCTTAACTCTAGTCAAGTTCTTAGTACCAAGAAGAACCTATAAATGCTAATTCATCTAAGAGATAGAACCTAAACCCATTTGGCTGTATGTTTCCCTCATGCATCCTGGACTCATGATCCACTGTGACACCCAGTCTACATGAGCATCGGCCAGTTTAGTTCCATTTACGTGAAGCCAATGTTCCTTTGATTAGGATGCTAAAGGAAGGTAGTAGGGTTCTAAGACTATGTGTTTCTAGAGGAGATGAAGGAAGAGAAGGATAGGGAGGAAAAGAAGCCCCTAACTTAGCTAGTTATAGGTGAGAACCCTCTGGTCCTGGCATGAGAAGCTCTTGTAAAAGTTTCAGAATGGAGACAGTCATGTCTATAATGGTCTACCCTACGCATTAGAGTAGGCATTAGCCCTTGGGAGGATATCAAGGTGTGGGAACCACTTAGGCTTCTGAGAAGTAGCTGATGAGAAGTCATACCAATTCTCCAGCAGAGAATGCAGGGCAGAGATGAGGCAGACGAAAGCCAGGGAAAATCAAGCATATCCAATCTCCCTTCCTCCCTTCCTTCCTCCCTTCCTCCCTTCCTTCCTCCCTTCCTCCCTTCCTTCCTTCCTTCCTCCTCCCTTCCTCCTCCCTCACAGTATAACTAGGAGAAAAAAATGAAAATTGTAGATAAGTAAAGCTAATTATCCATGTGCTATTAGTGAATGCTACTTTTACTGTATAAAGCACTTCTTTGGCTTACTACCTTCCTCCCTTCCTCCCTACCTCCTTCCCTCCCTTCCTCCTTCCCTCCCTTCCTCCTTCCCTTCCTTTCTTCCTCCCTCCCTTTCTTCTTCCCTCCCTCCCTTTCTCTTCCTTCCTTCCTGACTTTATCCCTCCCTTCTTCCCTCCCTCCCTTCCCTCTGTTTCTTTTTCTTTCCACCTGTCACATTTTTAAGAAAAATCTTTTTCTCAAAGGACAGAGTAGGCGTTTTAGCTCCAGTGTTGGTAAAACGAAGTCCCCTTCTTATTGCATCTTGCTCTTTTACCCCTGAGATTGGGAGTACCTGCAAACAATGAAACTTCCCTTCTTGCTGGACTAGACTGGGTTTTTTGGTGGGGGGGGGGGGGTGATGGGGGTTGTTGTTGTTTCAATTTATTTAGGCAAATTCTCCCTATGCAGCCCAGGCTGGCCTCAGCTCACCATCCCACTGCCTCATCCTCTCAAGTGCTTAGATTAAAGGTATAGACAACCACTCTTGGCGCTCTTTGACCCATGGTTCTTGAAGCATACAGTTGGCCTTGTGTATCTGTGGGGTTGTATTCTTGGATTCAACCAACCTTGGACTGAAAATATTCAAGAAAAAATATTCATCTTTAGGAACCTCTGTAGATTTTTGTCATTATTCCCTCAGCAACACAGAATAACAACTATTTGCATATAACATCTCCATTGTATCAGATATTACAAGTAATGTATAGATGATTTAACATAGACAAGAAGAGATGCATAGCTGATTAAACAAATAGTGCACCATTTTGTATAAGATCTTGAGGATCTATAGCTTTTGACATCTATGGGGCCTCAGGGGACACATACATAGAATTTAAAAAGCAAAAGGGTCCTCATTAAGTGGATGAAACAAAACTCCACTCACTCTGACATTGCCTACTCCCGGAGTACACACTTCTTCCAAAGGAGAATAGTGAGTCCTAGGATTAGATTCAACCATGTGACAAAGTTTACAAGGAAAGCCAAAACAAATCACTAAAGAGTAAAAGCTTGTGAAATTAGTCACTGTTGGAGAGTTCCTGACTATGTCAAGTTCCATGTCTAAAACAATGTGTGGCAGAAGCATTTAGGTTTTTCTCTTTTCTCTCTGTTCAGGATAAACATAAATCTTTAGCTACCAGTGTGAATTTACGTCTGTCTGGTAACAAAGCCACGAGCTGATTGTGGAGAAAATAGTCACACTTCTGTCAGATTGATCCCGCTAATGTCACCACTCACCTCATTGTCCTCGCTTCAGTTTTCTGAGAAAGTGAAGTTTTGCCCTACTTGCTTAAGGCCACTGTCAGATCAGGGGTACGACCCAAGTCCAAAGTCTCTCTGGACAAGGAGGCTGCATGCTCATCCTGACTGAGGACAATCCAACATGATGAAGCGAAATCGATGAATCAGAACTGCCAGTGCTTATTGAGTGTTTGCCCTGTACCCGACAGGGCTGAATGCTTTATGTGAAATATCTCACCTCATTATACGCTAGTTCATCTATGCCAAAGCCCGTGCTCCTAACCATGAAACTAGATCTGGCTTGCTTCTGGAAGGCCTTGAAGAGTTGGGAAGCTAAATACTGTCAGATCCTCAGAGGAGGCCCAAATACAGGATGGTCTCCCCGGCCATCTCCTCTCTCCTCCCAATCCTCCACTAGGGGCAAGTTCAGTACTATCATTAACAGAGTCACTTGGGGATGGTGACCCTTGGCTTCTAGTTGCCCCCTCAGCTCTCCCAAGTAGGTCACACCTGAATAATCTGCTCTGCACCTCCTTCTGTCTCTGCAGTTGAAGCAATACACCTGGGAAGCCTCATAGCTGCCCAGGGCTACATCTTTCCCATCTCTGACCATGTTCTCACCATGAAGGACGATGGTACCTTTTACCGCTTCCAGGTAGGCCTGCTGGCTCTTCTCCATGAGCAATCTTTTTCCATTCTCCATCATTTTATCTCAGATGAGAAGCACCTACAATGACCAAGAGTTCCTAAGGGAGCAAGATTCACCCTCACCAGTACCAAGAAACACAAAGACACTTGGATCTGGCCTGTTGGATTGGCCTACTTAACTAGTAACAGAGTACCTTCACTGGGGGCCTACTATTTGAGAGGGTACTAGCTAAGCCCTTTGGGGCTATTGTCACTGAATATCATAAACTACAGTGCTTAGAAATACCGGAAATTCATTTCTCACAGTTCCAGAAGCAGGGAAGGCCAAGATCAAGGGGCTGAAAGATTCAGTGTCTGGTGAGGGTTTTCTCTCTCTCTTCCTTATATGGTGCCTTCTAGCTAGGTCCTCAGAGAATGGTAGGAACAAGGGATATCTTCCAGGCTTCTTTCATATCCCACCCATCTGATCACCTCTCCCATGTCCCATCTCCTAATACCATCACCCTGGGAGGTGTGTGTGTGTGTGTGTGTGTGTGTGTGTGTGTGTGTGTGTGTGAAGATTTCAGCATATAAATTAGGGCAAGCACATTCAGCTCATAGCAGACGTTCTGCACATATTTCCTCATCTATTTCGAAGAATGAACTTCTGGAAGGTTACATGACACCCATTGTACAGATGAGAAAACTGAGGTGCCCAGAGAATGAATGTGGCACTTAGAAAAGTCTAAACTAAAAAAGGTTGAGAAGGGGTTTCTTCAAATAGGCTAAAAGGTGGGCAAGGAAGAGAACCCAGCGATGTCCCAGGAATCTGTGCCAAGCCTGACATCAAGCCAGACTTTATTTTAGGATAAGAAATGTTTGCCCTGTAAATTAAATGTCACTCTTTTTTAAAAAAAAAAATTGCTTGCCTTGGATATCATTTCTCAACACCTAGATTAACATGCTGACGGGTCTCAGCTGCATTTAAGAACAGGAGAGAACTGGGTATAGAGTGGACCACCAGAGATGGGGGGTGGGGAGAGGCTGCCATTGGGCAGGGCCTTGCTGGGAGGAGGGGAGGGGAGGATGGGTGCCTCTAGATCCTGACATCTTGTGCTTTGTCACTTTTCCACAGGCTCCTTATTTCTGGCCTTCAAACTGCTGGGAACCTGAAAACACTGACTATGGTGAGAATCAGAGCCTTGGCCACACGGCCTTGTTCCTCTGGGGAGTGCAGAAGATAAGGTTTGATGTTGGATAACACAGAAAGAAGGGCCTTCGCCCTGCTTAGTGCTCTGGAATAGACTCCCTGCCCCAGGCACTGAAAGGTGGAGTGCACTGAAAGATGCAGTTCTTGAAAGACAGAAGGGCAAGGGGAAGCAAAATTCTTTCTATGGAGCCTGGAGACCTGGGATCCCATGCCAACACTTGTGACCTAGGGATAGAGTTTCAGGGCTGGCTGGATCAACTTGCCATTTCTCCTGGCTCCTTCTATTCTCACATACTTGTTAAAACTAAGAACTCATTGGTATGTTTGATGGTGGGAAGTGATGAAGAAAGAAAAGCAGACTGAAAATGAGTATACAGATATTTCCTCGCAGATAGAAAGCGGGTTAATACGTCCATGAGGCAATTGTCTGAAGAAATACTATCAGTCCTATACTTAAGGCCCAAACATACCACATCCCCTCTCAGTCCCATTTCTCTGAAGTTCCCAGTTGACCGTAAGCCCAGAGAAGGCAGGGCTGGTCACCTTGTACATTCTTAGATATTCCGGTGCGTGGCACATACCTGAGACAAACTGCTTCTGGGTAAATGCTTACCAATTATCCTGGTTCTTTATTAGAAGAGGTCAACAGACATTCCCTGGAAGTAGCAGAATTTGAACTTAGATCCACACAGCTCTCTTGCCCATTTCTTTCCTGATCACCTGTATAACGTGCCTGAAGGTCACAGCAGTAGTTCCTGTCCCTTTGCATGAGTTCCTGCCACTGAGGTGGCAGTCTCGTGTGGACTGGGGCACTCAAGTCACCCAGGCACTGTGGAACTAGAAACTGGTGGCTGCTTGGTGGAGTAATGGGAAGGTGTATGGCTGGTGGGGTCCAGGAAGCCTGTCTGAAAGACACAGCTTTGACTCGTGCATTTTAGGGGAAGGAGCCACTGTATGCAGTCTTGAGAGGGAAGCCAGCAAGGTTTGCTGGTTAGTGTTTGAGTCTGGGAGATGTGTGAGGGGCAAAGCCCTCAGGTTGCCTGTTCTGCTGTGTGTGGCCTCTGATGAAGTGGGTCCCATTCTGAGCCTCCGGCGGAGAGCCAAGCTGTGTCCAGACCAGTCATAAAACAAGACCTTTAGGACTGAAAGACAGCCCAGAGGGGCCCAAGTTGGTGTTTGAATCATTACCGCTCAGTTCTTTGTGACAGCATGTGCCCTTGTGAATGCAAAGTCCAGTGTTGTTCCAGGCTGTGGAGAAGGTGGGAGGAGGCTGGGCCCAGAGACCTAGGCTCAAGTAAAGCTAAAAAAATGTCTCTATCCCATCTGATACCACACACACACACACACACACACACACACACACACACACACACACAAGAGAATTGCTTGCCTTCCTCTACTGGTTTTCTCCACTTCAGAATCTCAGTGGGCAGCATAAACAAGGGTACAATTGACAGCTTCTCAAGTGATCTTGAATTTTTGTCTTCAGATCTGGTAGAGAAGTCAAGATGCAGGATATACATGTCTTCAAATTTCTGAAACAGTTTAATTTAAGAAATGTGTTTTCTGAGAGAAAATTAGACACAGAGGGCCAGGATCGCCAGCAACACAAACTGTGCGATCATGGCAAGTTCCCCTAACCTTACTGTGCCACAGAACCAGATTGAAATTAGAGCAGTTTGTTTACTTGTCTCCTAGGGTTGTTTGGTCGGTAGGTGTCACGTGGTAAGGAGTCCACACTCGTGGTGGGTGGTGTTTATCTCTATGGTGGCAACAGTTACACCAGGTGGATGTTCTTACCTGCATCATGGTAATGGCTGGTATTACTGTTGTTTAGGGTATGGTTGCTATCGGCCTTGTATTGTTACTACTGAAGTAGTGAAATATGATTATCACTGTGGTGATCCTTGCACCAGAAATAACATGAAAATGAAGCTAAGAAACCAGAATAGCTAGTCAGGGACTAATGGCTCATGCCTACCATCATGGTTACTTAATAGGCTGAGATGGAGGATCAAGGTTCAAAACAAGCCTGGGCAGAAAAACCCACATGACTCCATCTAAAAAATAATCAGCAAAAAAGTGGACTGGAGGTATGGGTTAAGTAGTAGAACACCAGCCATGAATGAGCCGGCCAAACGAGTATGAGGCCATTGGGATTGACATTCATTTCACAAATATTTACTGATTAACCTACTCTGTGTCCATTGCTATGTCCCAGATGTGGCCACATCATGATCTTGCCAGGCCAGCAAGCTTGGAAGGCTGCAAGAGGTAGCATGATGGGGCAAGAAGAGAATGGGTGCTCAGAAATTGCTGATTGTCAGTAGATAATGAGAACAGACTCAGTTTGGGGGAGCCATTGTAGATCCCCAATAAGGAGGAATAATTTGAAAATAATTCCCCTCATCTGTAAGATGGGGGAATAACGGAACCTGCCTCATAGATCTTCCATGCAGTGCTGAGTTACGGGGATATTTGACAAATCTTGGAAGTTGTGACTGACCCACAGTGAGCTTGGGATAAGGAGTCACTGCTGCCACCCTGATCCCAGCATCAGCAACTGCCTTAGTACTCCAGATGGTTCAATGGAGCCCTCATAAGAACAACTCTCTTTTCCCATTCAGTTCACTGATGCCACTCAGCTATGGTGCACTCACATCCTAGCCATGCCAGGGTACACGGAGACTATCCTAAGTGGAATATACAAACCTACCAAACATAGAAGCTCAGCATCCTGGCACACTGTAGAGTCTGGTGTTTGCCCTCGTGAATCAGGAGGCTGACAGGGAGCTGCCCTAAACCACAAAAGACTCAGGCCACATATCAGTTGCTCAAGAAAAGATCCAGATTTAAAATTTTAAAGGATGATTTCTACTGCATGTATATGGTTTTCACATCATGGCAAAGTTGAAAAACCATTCCGTTGAACCAAAGATCTAGGATTGTTATATATATGCCAACAGTTAGTGAACCTCCCATTATTAAAAATAACAGGTGAGCCTGACATAAACAGATTTGGGAACAACTACAGTTGACTCTTTTCAGCACCCAGGCTGGGGGTAGATGTGTGGCTAGCCCAGATAGAGGGCTGCAGGCTGGAAGTCTCCAAAGACACGTGAACTATCAGCAGGAAATTCTTCTGAGCAAAGGGAGGCAGCTGGTGAATCCAGTGAGGAGCTGACTACAGATCTCTCAGCATCCTTAAGCTGAGGTACAGCTCCTCTGGGTCTTTCTCTCTTTTTCATTGTGTTGATCATTCATGCCAGCCATCTCCTCTTTCTTGGATCATTCTCTTTGATATCCAAGAAGGAAGACACTGAAGAAGCAGATTTAGCAAGAGGTGATGAAGGTTGGGCTTGAGGAAGAAATGTCCCAGTGATCAAGGGCTAAGAACCCTTCTTTGGCCTGGCCGAGAGCCAACCCTAAACTATGCTCCCTCTCCACTGCTGTTCTCCACCACCTGGCAGGACAGGCCCAGATGCAGGATCATGGTAAAGTGGAGGACATAGCCTCTGTCCTTAAAGAGCTTTCAACCTCACTCAGAGGACAGTGTAGTCTGCACAGGGCCTCGGTGAACAGGAACACTAGTGCAGGGAATGAGGCTGTGTGAACGATCCCACTCATGGAGCTGGGTCTTCAGAGATTAGTATCACCTTATTAGATAGACACAGGAGCAGAAGAAAGAAGAGAGTGCCCTTCCATATAAAGGATACATAATCAAAAGAACGTACCAGAAGTTTGGTGGCCTGGCAATGCCCATGTGAGGGAGGAGAAGAGCGTAGCAGGACAAGCAGAGAAAGTATCATAAAGAGCCACATTGTCTATCCTAAAGGCCCTAGCCCTTCTCTGAGGATTCAGTGTGGGGCTTTAGGACCTGTGGGTTACATGGTCACAGACAGGAATAATCACACAGAGTGAGCGTATTTGATGTATAGCAGAGTGACAAGAGAGATGAGAAGTTACCAAGATTGGTAGACAGAGTCCTTATCTGACCCTGACCTACAGAGAAATCCCTGGAGGTCAAGTGTCATGACTTTTACTGATAAAATGTATTCTTCCAAGGACAGAGCTTAGCACACAGGAGGAGCTACTGGATGAATGAAAAGGGATGGATGGATGAATGATGGATGAATGGATGGATGGATAGATGGATGGATGGATGGTGGATTTATGATTCTACTGCACTGATGGCTTGATACAGTTGCAATTTCTCTTCTCCTCTCAGCCATCTATCTCTGTAAGAGGACAATGCAGAATAAAGCAAGACTGGAACTGGCAGATTATGAAGCTGTAAGTATAATTATTTCCAAGGCTTGATCTTGGAGAAGAGCAATCATAGCTGCAGTGCTATTGAAGGTTGTGCTTTCCCCCTGTTTGTCTCCCCCAGTCCATTTCAGACAGAGGAGAGGAAGTCTCTTCTGTTTCCTCTCCTTTGTCTTCAGCTCCTCTCATCACAATACAAATGAATCTTTACATAAATAACTCTGAAAACTCAACAATAAAAAATCAACAACTCAACATAAAAGTACACAAAGGAAGTCAGGCATGGGGCACACATCTGAAATGCCAGCCCTTAGGAGGCTAAGGCAAAAGAATTGTTGAGTTAAGGCCTCCTAGGATGGATAGGAGGATCTTGTCTCAAAAGAAAAATATAGACAAAGGACTTGAACATATATTTTACCAAAGAAAACAAAAAGATGATAAACAAGCATATGGAAAGATGTTCAACACCATTAGTCATTGGAAAGAAGAATCTGAAGTGAGACATACCTACATATCTTCTAGAATAACTAAAAAATGTTTTTAAAGTAATACTTAATCATATGTTCATGGAACAACTACAACTCTCCTGTATTACTGGTAAGATGACAAAGTGGTCCAGCTACTTTGAGAAATAGTTGGGACAATTTCTTGTAAAGTTCAACATACATTTATTACATGAGATAGCTTTATATCTGTTCAACAAAAGCTAAAATCAACCCAAATATATTTTGACAGGTGAATGATTAAACTAGGCATGGTTCATCTATGCAGTGGAATACTATTCTGCAGTAAAAAAAAAGTGAGTGGTTGATGCATACACACACACACACACACACACACACACACACACTGGATGTTGTTAAGTGCAAGAATCCAGTCCTGAGCCAGCCATTCCAGTTATACAAAATTCTCATAAATACAAAGGTATCATGAGGGAATAACAGATCAATGGCTGTGGTTATGGATATAGTTTATGTGACCATAAAAACATAGCCCAGAGGAGCATTGCAAGTGATAGAGCTATTCTGTATTCATCTTGTGGTCATGGTTATATGAATCTATTCATGCGTTAAAAATTCACCTCACTATTCTAAAAAGGAAAGTCTCTAATTTCCTGGTTTTAATTGTATCTTTGTGCCTGCTCTGGGCTTGATAATAGAAACAGAATATGAGGAAGACAAAATTCAGTCCAGAAAATAAGACAGGATGTATGTCCCAAGTGGAGTCTCTTTTCCCGAATTTCTTACCTCCTTCTTCCATCTTCCTTCATAAGCTATAACTCCTTATAAAAAGTTAGCCGGACGCTGGTGGCTCATGCCTGTAATCCAAGCTACTCAGGAGGCTGAGATCTGAGAATCATGGTTCAAAGCCACCTGGGAAGGAAAGTCTATGAGACTCTTATCTCCAATAAACCACTAGAAAACTGGAAGTGGTGGCTCAAGTGGTAGAGTGCTCGCCTTGAGCTGAAGAATGCAAGGACAGAGCCCAAGCCCAGAGTTCATACCCCAGGACTCACAAAAAAAAAAAAAAAAAATTAGAAGTCTCCCTCGGTATGTCTGCTCCCATTGGGCAGAGCCCAGAACCAAAGAACATATTTGTGAAGATTTACAGATCATTTAAAATATCTTTCTCCCAAACTGAACCTTAAATGGGTCACAAAGAATAAGGGAAGTTGGTTAAAATTTTTGTACTGTCCACTTCCATCTCCCTTACTCCTCCAGTGCAGGAGTTGCTGAAGGTCAGCAGCTATGGAAGGAAGTGCCAGAAAGCGAGAGAAGAGATAAAGAAAGGGAGCAAGAGAGAGAGGGAAGAAATAAAAGAGCAAGGAAGGGAGGGAGGAAGCAAGCAAGCAGGGAGAGGGGAGAGAGAAGAGAAGAGAGGATTCACTGTATATACTACAGAATTGAGAAAAATAAAGAACGGGTTGGTCAAAGATGTTGAAGGGATGGCACGGATCAAGATGTGTTGTATACACAAACTGTAAAATGGAAAAAATTGTAAATATCCTAAAAATTAAGAAAAGTGAGGATAGGGGTAGGTTGAGAGGGGCAGGTGAGAACGTTGAAAGGGATGACATTGACCAAGAAGCACTTTTGAATGGCAACTCCTTTGTACAATTACTTAAAGATAATAAGAATATTCAAAAAGGAAGAGAGAGAGGGAGGGAGGGAGGGAGGGAGGAAGGAAGGAAGGAAGGAAGGAAGGAAGAAAGGAAGGAAGGGAGAGAGAGGGAGGAAGGAAGGGAGAGAGAGGGAGGGAGGGAGGGAAGGGAGGAAAGGAAAAGGGAAAGGGAAAGGGAAAAAGAAAGGAAAGGAAAAGCAAGCAAGCTTGGGGATTTTCACATTAAAATACTGCTTAAAATGGTTAGAAATTTCAGCAACACTTTGTTGTTTCAATTATTTAAAATGTGCAAATTTTATTAAAATTTTCTCATTTCATGTTCTCTTGGTAGAAAATAAAAATTCAAACAACAAAGTAGAAAAAAGCAAGTCAATTCTCTCCCCTAACTCCATATATATTTTTTCTTTACAAATAAATATTATTATGTTGTTTCTTTTTCCAAACACTGATGTATTTGGGGAATCTTTCCAAAGTCTATAGCACTAGGCTGCCTTATCATTTTTAATGGCTGCCAAGTATTCTGTGGAATGACTGTCATCATTCGTTTTACTACTCCTCAATTGATTGGCATCTAGCAGTTACCAGCCTGGCTTCCCATGAACAGGGCAAGAGTCAAAGGGACAGGTTTTAGAAGTACTTACACACCAAGCCTTGGTTATAGCTGTGAGCTAGGTGTAGAGTACTGCGATTGAAGCTCCTTTTATATTAACAATCTCCTAATGAGGGTAATCAATTAGTGGTGACATGAGTTCTATGAAAATACGTAGTGTAACGCAGACCCCAGCCTTGCATTAATCAGGATTAGGAAGATCATTAGGGGGCCTGTCAAGCGCCCCTTCTCAGTGTCCCAGTAAGTCCGTATACTTAGAGAAAACACTTCTTTTTTTCCTCTGAAAGCTATTCTGGATGACTTTTCTTTCTGTTTGCAGGTTTTCCTCTCATAAACGTCCCAAACATAGACACTCCTCTTGGTCCACTTTGAGTCCTGACACTCCACTTCCCGCTTTCTCTGTCAGGTCCCCTGGTTCTCCTTCTCTACAACCTTCTGGCTCCAGCTAGAAGATGTCTTTTGAGAGACTTGCGCTTTGCGTTGCTCTTGGAGATGCCCAAAAGGTTGCAGAGGCCCTACCATTCCTTCCCTAATAACTACAAGCTGTTACTTTCTGTAGCCTTTATAAGAAGGGCAGTGTGGGTTGTGTTCTGTGTGTGAGGTTTTTTCTCAGTTTTTATTTGCATCAATCAGTTTTAGGGGTTTTTTTGTTGTTTTTTTTTTGGGTCTGGTCGTTGGGCCTGAACTCTGGGCCTGGGCGCTGTCCCTCAGCTCTTCAGCTCAAGGCTAGCGCTCTACCACTTGAGCCACAGCACCACTTCCGGCTTTTTTCTTTTTGCTTATGTGATACTGGGGAATCGAACCCAGGGCCTCAGGCATGCAAGGCAAGCGCTCTACCACTGAGCCACCTTCCCAGCATCATCAATCAGTTTTATAAGGGAGTTACATTTTGACATATCCATATCACATATGAAGGACCCTAGTGGACTCACTCTCAGTCACTCTTTCTCCTACTCCCTTCCCAAACAAATCTCAAGTCACTTCTGATGTTCTATTTTCACATATATATACTTAGGTATTATGATTATTTTCACCCTCCTTTGCCCCCTCTCTTCCCATTAGTACCCCCACTCTGACAGGACCAGTGTTATATTCCTGTCATTCATTTGTTTTTAGGGTATGTTATTGCTCAAAAGGGTTTTTCCTGGTATTTCACACATACAGAATATTTTGGTCAGATTGAGCCCCTCTTTGGTCCCCCCCATCTCCACCACCCTCTGTTATTCAGGAAGTCCTCATTTAGGCATCTTCATTGACAGGTGTAAGATATTATTCACCATCTAACATTCTCTTTTCCTCCCCCCCATGCCCCCAATTCCCTTAAAAAGTCCCAGTTACAGGCATGTACTTGTGTAGGTTGTATTCTTATAAAACACACAAGAAGAGAAGAATCAAGTGAACCACAGACTTAATGGATACATAAGTGAACATCACTAGTCCAACTTTGGGTTTGTGTCTAGCAGTTCCAATGTGGGGTCCTGCTATTTGTTTGGAATAACCAGAAGGGATGACTGCTTTATAATCAGCATAGGTGTTTGTGTTAACTGACAGTGATTAATGTCTTCTTATTGGTTTCCATTTCTCACTAGGAAAACCTAGCAAGACTCCAGAGGGCCTTTGCAAGGAAGTGGGAATTCATCTTTATGCAAGCAGAAGCACAAGTAAAGTAAGTGAACTTAGTAGATGCCTCCAGAAGAAACAGCTCTGGAATTTGAGATGGTGTGAGGTTGGGATTACAGGAAGAGTTTTGTACATGCTAGCCCAGGAACACAATGCTTGAGAGATAAAGAGTTAAAAGAAGGTTGGGATGGATAAATTTTTACATTTGAACGATATCAATCTATAAGGATTCCAAAAGCACTGCTTCAGAAGGCAAGGGGGCTCCTTCCAGATGTAGAACTCTGCTTGTTAGAAGGTAGACCCAGTTGCTGGAGCGTTCCAATTACTCTTCTGTGCTAAGAAATTGGAAAACACTCCACCAGGTTTTCCCATGAGGCTGGAGATCGTGTCTTCACGAGTAAACATGCTGAGCTTTAGGGAGGACAAATGACCTCTCTTCCCTTCACCCCAGTATAGGAAGAGTTTAGAAACAACTGAAAAATAAGGCGCAGAAGTCAGACATTCAGAGTCTATTAACTTAAAGCTGGATTACAGCTTTAGATATGTGGCCACAGGTCTGAATTACATTCCCAAGGCAGAGGTGGGCATCTGTAGACCTCTTCTACCAGGAAAGAGCTGTCCTCTGTCAGATGACTGTATGCAAAAACAAAACAAAACAAAGCAAATGTCTTAAGGACAGGAAGACCCAGGTGGGGAGGACCCTATGACCCTTTACTAATTTCTTCTTCCAAATGTACCAACAAGTTAAGTCATCCATCTTCCCCAAAGAATCAGAGATGAAAAGGGGCTCAAGTTTGAAGAGATTCTTTTCTTCCTAAATACATAATGGAAATTCCTCTTTAAGAAAACATGTGGCACAGGGAATAAGTGTCCTGTTAATACATAAACGTGGTTGTCAACTAGATCCACTCAGTTCTGAGCCATGAAATTGCTGAGGTCAGGAAATCCCTTATTCTTACTACTGATAATGTCTGGCTTAGCTTGAGCCTTGAAAGGAAAAGTAGGACAGAGAAGCAGAATGCAAGCACCTTTGTTTTTTTCTGGGTCCCACTCATATGTGAGCAGCCCCTGTGGGGCTTCAGAGGAGTGATTCACCTTCTGTGGGTGACACAGTTCATTGCCTGGAGTGTCTCAGGCTAGTAGGCGGGAATAGGTCACAGCTATAGTCATGGTTGGAAATGGCAGGAGGTTGTGTTTTCCACTGTCACTTTGGTGTGCCCAGATGCCCCTGAGGGAGGGGGGTACCAAGTGCTTGGGTCTGTGCCACACAATTGGGGATGGAGAAGGTTCACATGGGAGAGTAAGCAGGAAGGAAGCTACGATTTAGATGGACTGAGGAACAATTGTTCTCATGGACTCAGAAGCCACTGGGAAGCCAAAAAGAGCACAGATTTGTTCTTCAGAAATCAACAGTATTTTCTATGTTACAAAATGAGGGGAAATTATCACTTTCTACATATACGGTGTTTCTCCACTAACTCTTTTGATTAACTGTGATTACATTCTAATTGTGGGCCATTTAAGTACACAGTAATTGTGACAAATACCTCAGAGTGATTATGGGTTTATTTCCATCCAGTAAACTAAAGTGCTCCCAAGAGAGCCAAGAAGGAGAAGTTGCATGGCAATTAATCTGAGTTGCTTTTTACTTAGATAATATGAAGTAATACATATCTTCGAGGAGAAAAAAAAAAGCACCTCTTTCCAGAGCTGCTGATCAGAACATAGAGAAAATGTCTTTGCCATCTATTATTTCCCAGTGGCAATTTGTGTCTCCCCCAACTGAGGTGGGTGATGTGGGCTTTCTGGGTCTTCTCCCATGCTAGTGGCATTATTCTGCTTTTTAGGAAGCCAGAGCTAAAGTGATCCTGTGTGTGTCTATGTCTGTATGTGTATGCATGTATACATGTGCCAGTACTGGAGCTTGAATTCAGGTCCTGGGCTCTGTCCCTTAGCTCTTTCAGTCTCAAGGTAGATGCTCTACCGCTTGATCCACAGCTCAACTTCTGGCTTTTGGGTAGTTCATTGATCATAAGAGTCTCATGGACTTTCCTGCCCAGGCTGGCTTCAAACCTCTATCCTCAGATCTTGGCCTCCTGAATAGCTAGGATTACAGGCATGAGCCAGCAGCACCCAGCTGAAATGACTTTTAAAGCATAATTGCAAACCAGGCCCTAGTGGCTCCTGCCCGTAATCCTAGCCTACTCAGGAGTCTGAGATCTGAACATTGTAGTTTGAAGCTAGCCCCAGGGCAGAAAAATCTGTGAGACTCTTTATCTTCAATTATCAGCAAAATGTCAGAAGTGGGAGTGAGGGTCAAGTGGTAGAGTGCTAGCCTGAACAAAAAAAACCAAGTGAGAATAACAGACCTTGAGTTCTAGCCCCAGAACTAGCACAAGTGTGCACACATACCACACACACACACACACACACACACACACACACACACACACACACACCCCCCACATAATTGAAGCATTTTGAAGACATTTCTACTGCCCTGAATGTAAAACAAACTTTCAAATTTGAGATAGAGCCCTGGCAAGCTGGTGGTTACATTCCTCTTGGTAATTTTGTATGTGTAGTAGTGGCCTTGATGGGGGTCATGTTGATGGATAATTTAGTTCTTAGTAACTCAGGCCTTAATACGTCATGTGGCTCAGGCACACCATGTCATTGCATGTATGTGGCAATCTGTCATCTAAAACAATTGTTCACCATGCATGGAGTTTCTGAAGTTTCAGCTTCAACAAGGAGGGACCACATAGGTATTAACAGTCTTAGCATCAACTTAGCTCCCAGGAGCAGGAGCTGAGAACTGAGGCAAAGGTCAAAAGAAAAACAAAAGCTTCTTTTCTTTCTTCCTTCTTTCAGGATTGACCGGAAAAAGGACAAGACAGAAAGGAAAATTTTGGACAGTCAAGAACGGGCCTTTTGGGATGTCCATAGACCAGTGGTAAGGAAACTTGGCTTGATTCTCTAGAGTATATTCTTTTCCAGTTTGTTTCTTCTTCAAAAAACAAAACATTGTCTCACATGATCAAGTATCTCACTCTTAAGATAATTGCTAAGCTTTGTGACACTGGTTTTGCCATCCATTTACATAATCTCAGAAGATTTTCTGAAACAATTGTCAGATCTACCTTTCAAACATCCTCTATCCATGAGAGTGTAGAACTGGAAACGAGGGATTCTAGCAGGAGAAGTTTGGACCTCTACCCCCTAGTTTGTATTTCCCAAATCAATGGTTTCCATTTCCACCATGGTTCAACTCTGAATCTTAAAATATTCTCCCTCGCACACAGTTAATTCTTCTCTTCGATGATAGTTGTCTTATATAACGTCTTTGTGAAGACTAAATTGGTGACTACTGAAGCATTGCCCCTAAAAGAAATATGCTGGGTTCCTATGACCCTCTAGTGAAGCGCATTTTTACCAGCTGATCAATATATGCTTTGGTTGAATATGTTTCTGTGCAAGGGTAGGCTACTTAATTCTACTTAACATTGATTCATTGGCATTAAGCATACATCCAGCATGCCTATAAGTCATGCTTGAATGAAGTGTATCTAACACACACACACAGACACACACATACACACATACACATGTGCATTTTTACCAGCTGACCAATATATGCTTTGGTTGAATATGTTTCTGTCCAAGGGTAGGCTACTTAATTCTACATAATGTTGATTCATTGGCATTAGGCATACATCCAGCATGACTATAAGTCATGCTTGAATGAACTGTATCTAACACACACACACACACACACACACACACACACACACACACACATACACACATACACATGCACCTTTCCTACAGAATCTCACTACCTTTTTGCACTTGAGAGAAGGAAGCTTCTTAGCACTCTCTAGGTATCTATCTATTTTAGAGAGCAAAAGCACCAACCCCCCTCCCCCCCAAAAGAAAGAAACATTAACTAAACCCTGAGTATACTGATTGGCAAGAAAGCATGGTCTCAGCTTGTTCAACCAAATGATAGGTGCCCACAGGACAAGTCAGCCTTGTTTTGGGCCTGTGAATGTCCGCAAATGGTCTTTAAGTTTCTGTGAGTAGTGACCTAGAGGTCACAAATAAATTTTAGTAAGTAGAAAAACTGCAAATACAGATACAAAATTGTAGAAATTGTGGCTGACTATATTTCCAATCTTGTGTTATGAGACCAAGCTGTTCATTACCTCTTCCTGAAATGGAATGAGAAGTGAATAAATGATGTTTACTGTCCTAGGAAACCAATCAAAAGCCAAAACAAGGAAGTGGCTCTCTCAGTGATACTGGTGTCTTTTCAGATGATTAGCCGTGTGAAATATAAAGTCTGTGGCCAAAACAGTCTTTGAAATAAGTTTGCTCCTAGAAATTGTCTCCTTCTACATAACATTCCTTTCACAAAATCCACATCCACATTGCCTGTGAGAACCGCATGGAAGAACCTACATTATGGGAAATAATTGTACCATATAGTATCTATTATGGGAAAGATAAATACTAGTCCTGATGGTGTTACTTAGATCTGATTGGAAGGGTAATTTTCATCTTGTAATTTATATGATTTGTTTTTCTCAGCCAGGCTGTGTGAACACAACAGAAATGGACATCAGAAAATGTCGACGTTTGAAGAATCCTCAAAAGGTTAAAAAGGTTCGCTACACTAAAAATTAGTTTACTGCTTACAAATATGCCATAGTTGGGGCTGGGAAGGTGGCTCAGTGATAGAGCGCTTGCCTTGCATGCATGAGGCCCTGGGTTCGATTCTTCAGCACCACATAAGCAGAAAAAGCCAGAAGTGGCGTTGTGGCTCAAGTGGTAGAGGGCTAACCTTGAGCTGAAAAGCTGAGGGACAGTGCCCAAGCTCAGAGTTCAGGCCCACAACCGACAACCCCCCTCCCCCCAAAAAACCCAACAAATATGCCATAGTTGTTTGTTATTATCATTATTATTATTTATTTGGCAGTAATTGGGGTTTGAATTCAGAGACTCCTGCTTGCAAGAGGGGTGCTCTACTACTTGAGCTATGCCTCCAGCAAAAGTCTGCCATATTTGATCTTTCTAAATCATCTTTTTCACAGGTTCTCAAAGTGTTTATTGAATGGCTGGTGTGTGCTAGACATGGTGCACGTGACTGGGGTTCAGAGGCAGGGCCTCACAGGAACTCACTGTCTGATGAGGTATAGGTCGGGAAGAACAGCTAACTCAGAAGGAGTCAATGAGATCGTGTAAATTGCAGTTGGCTCTGAGGGGGAGGGCAGTAAGGAAAGAATACTAAAGGAACAAAAAACTTTTTAAAAACAGAAAAAAGAAAAGAAAGTCCAACCTATAACAGCAAGCTGGATCCTCAGAAGTAAATGAAAGGCTTTTAATAGAGCTACCTATTCCAAACTCACACCACCATCTTGCCCAGCTGTCAATGACCCCACAAGCACTTATATTTCACCTTACTGGATGGAGCGTATGGCCACGGCACACCACAGGTGCCACGCTCAGACTGCCCCCGTCTGTACCTCATCCTCATCAAGGTCCACATTTTAAGAAATCATGTCTGTACTACATAATACGAATTTCAAAAGGTTAGATGTATGTCCCCAAAGTGTCCCTATGACATACAATGACCAATTATCTCTCTCTTTCTTACACAGTGCTTGAGATCAGAAATGTTTTAGATTTTGAAATATATATCCAGAGAGAGAAAGAGTTCTAAATCATTTCAATCACAGACCCAAATCCACAAACAAAATCCATTTATGTGTCATGTATACCTAACACACACTGTCGGAAGGTAATTTTATGTACAATATTTTTAGTGAGCCTGTGTTTTGGCCAAAACCTCTCCTCATGAGATCAAATGTAGAATCTTCTACTTGTGCTCTCAGGTCAGTGTTCAAAATGTCTTGGATTTTAGAGTCCGTCTTTCAGAGTTTCTAGATGACTTGTATACACATCTACACACATGAGGAAGGAGAGTGAGCACTGGTGTGTGTGTGTGTGTGTGTGTGTGTGTGTGTGTGTGTTTGTCCTTGAATCAACTTCTATATTTTGCTTGTCACTAAGGTATCGATGTTTAGTGCATTATACTTTAAATTATGTCTTAAAAGTCCTCATTAATCCTTTAATGGCCCCTAATGCTAATATTCCAGAACTACGTAGAGTCACATGTAAAGTCACCTGCGCCCTTCACGACCGCATAGATTGCAGCCACACACACTGCATGTGCTTCAGGGGCTCTTCATTCTCACCTGTTTATAACAATAGCAACGGCTTAAAAAGAAGCCATAACTGTGGCCTGTAGAGAAACTGAGGATAAAAGATGGTTGGGCTTTAAAAGGGAAAGCCTGAATCCTGGAATCCCAATTTCATACTAGAGGAAACTTTTTCCATAGCACCTTCAGTAGTTATTTTCAAACTTTCTTTTTGGCTCAGAATTTCCTGGAGTATTTGCCTAAAGCCAACCTACAAATATTCTGACTCAGTAAGCTTGGTTATAAGCAATGATTATCTTGAATAAGTACCCCTCAATGATTCCTTGCAGATGGTCTTAAGAAAAACACTAATAAATAGCACCATTTTGGCTCAGTAATAGGATTTCCTAGCAGTTGTAACCCAGAGATGCCTCACAAAGCAGAGCTCCTGCCGTTGGTGAAATTCAAGCAGAGGCTGGTCACCTTTGTCCAGATGTCATAGAGGGGACTTCAGGAATCAGATGGGGGATGGAGGATTGAAATAGCAGATCTCTCCAGTCTGAAGGGATAATGATTCATCTTCTTACTTCTTCTAGTCAGTGTATGGCGTGACTGAGGAATCCCAGGCACAGAGCCCTGTGCACCTACCTAGCCAACCAATCAGGAAAACTACAAAAGAAGACATCCGGAAACAGGTGACTGATTGACTGCTGTACTCCAGCGTAGGATGTGTGACCCATTGAAAACTCCTTTCAAGTTCATCTCTGAGGGCTGAGTGAGCTTTGAGCTCCTGGAGAACATGGTGGAACTTGAATATTTGCATGCTGTGTGTGAACGCATGGAACTTTAGAGGGAGAATTATCTCCTATGTTCCTCCAGCAGTTGTTACAGAGGGCATAAATGAATTATTAGTGGCAGACTCACTGCTATACCGGGCAGTTCTGGAGTTCTAAAAACTGAAATGTACTCTCAGACTTCACCAGCTCAGGATCACCAACTCTGGATGAACTCTTTCTGTGATTCAAAAGGGAAGCTGAAGAATAAAGAAAGCAGGGAGAGTGTGGGGAAAGGGGCAAAATTGTCCAAAAAGAAATGTGCTCTTTGCCTGATTTACATAACTATAATCCCTCTGTAGGGAACCTTTATAATAGCAATTTAAAAAACATAAAAAATAAAAAAGATAAGGAAAAATGTTTTAAATACTTAGAAAGATAACTTGTGGAGGAGATGGGGAAAAACCAGTTGTTTAAGGATACAGGTGGACCTGTTGCAACAATGAGAAGTACAAGTTGTCATGTCCAAAACGAACTTTACAATGTTGGTGGGGGGGGGGGGGGGGCTGGGGGGAGGGAGGAAGGAGAAGGATTGGGATTAGGGGGGGAGGGGGGAGGCTGGGAAGGGATGTGAAGGATAAACAAAGGAGGAGGCTGCAATGCTTGGTAAGAAATGTACACATTATCCTGCCCATGTAACTGTAACTCCTCTGTACAGTATGTTCACAAATAAAATTAAATTAAATTAAAAAAATAAAAAATAAAAAAAATAAATAAATAAATACTTAGAAAGAATAAAGGTATTCTCCTCCCAATGCCATTCAGCATTATTTGGTTGAATATTACTTTCTTTTATGAGGATGACCCCAGATCAACAACAACCAGCTAATTCCATTACTCTTTTCTGAAATTTACTAGTCATAAGAAGATTAGCACTCATTATTTATATTAGGAGTATGGATTGGGTAAAGAGTAAACTTGCAGTGCCCACTCTGGGCAAGCTTATTACTAGCTAGGAAACCAATTTATGCGAGATAGCTAGTTGATGATTCTGGTCAAACAGGCCAAGCACAGGAAGAAACACAGTCACTTGGGATCTAGACAGAACAAGATCTCACAGTCCATGTGTTACCTGTCCGTGTGTGGCTAAACTTCATAAGCTACATGCTGCTTTTTAGTGTGGGGAGCCACTGTTAGGAATCAAGACTTAAATTGTAACACAGTCCAGGAAAATATGTGGCACAGGCTAGCCTGTAGAGTATGAGTCTTGAGTGTGGTAAGAATTTCAGAAAAGGGCAAATTGGCTGCTAGGGTACAAAGTTGGAGGGCACGAGTCATGCCAGAGTAGGTGTTTGGATCTTGGTGGAAATACAGATTTAGGTTCATGGGAGAGAAGGAGAATAAAGAATTTTATTTTAGTCTCAACATCCCTATTCTCTCTCTCTCCCCAGATAACCTTTTTGAATGCACAGATTGACAGACATTGTTTGAAAATGTCCAAAGTGGCTGAAAGGTATGTTTTCCCTCAAGAATATCACTGCTTGCAACTTATTTTACAAAGGGAAAGCGCTACAGGGTGATAGTTAACTGTATGTGTTCAACTTCAAGAGTTAAGCTGCAGTCAGTCCTTAATCTGATTTGTGAAAAAGCCATAGGCTTCATGTGAATATAGAGAAGACCACAGGCCTCCCTCCAGTGATGTCAAGAAAAATTCTATTGCTAAAGCTGCTCGCAGGTGACCACAGAACCTTGTCAATCAGAGAAGAATGTCTTTAAAGGCTTCATCCTGAGCCTTTTGCCTCCAGCTCCTTAATTAATTCAAATGGCATCTCACCCTTTTTCAGTCCAGACTTACTTTATGGAGGAAAGAAACTGTGTGTTCCCCTTGAGGGGCTGGCCACATAAACAGAGAGAACTGAATGCTTGGGAGGTGTCCAGCACTATCCACTGATGAACGGCATTGGATCAAAAAAATATTTGGCTTCTCCAGCCTTGCCTCCACCAGTGCATTTGTGTAACAATCTGTACCAGTAGCTGGTTCCATTCCATTAACTCATGGGAGATTCAACTTTATCAACTAAATGGTCTATTTTTTTTAACGCTACCACAAAGACAGGGACTGCCCAGGGAATCTGTATGGAATAAATCTAATCAAGCAGCCAGAACTAAACATTTGTTCATCCATATGCTGCTGTTTAAGCAATGGGAAATCTCTGAAAAGAAAATCAAAGGTTTAAGTCAGGTCTTAGTATTTATTAAATGTCAGAAAAACTGGGCTCTTGAAGCCCAGCTGTACATGACACTGGCTGTGTGATTCACCTGGAAGCCTTTCTCAGCCAGCCCCGGGGGCTGATCCACATCTTCTTACTGGATAAACTATGACAAATGGAAGCTAAGAAAACACCAGCTCCAAATCCCAAACCTGAATTAGCACTTTGCTTTACGGAACCAAGGATGTTTGTGGATTTGGGCTCATACTGATAATACCTTTGTATCTATTCCATCTCATATGTGTTCTTGACAGTGACACTGTTAGAAAATATCAAGGCGGATGAAAGGACAGAGGAGACAGAGACCTCAACAGATCAGATAGATCAGACTTTAATCATCACTGCCGAGGGCCACCAAGTACCACGAGGCCGAATGGAGATATAAGGAGCACAGAGCAAAGGGGGTCTGGAGTTTAAGTATAACAAAATGAGGACGTTCTGTTGTGAAACCAGGCAGCTACCACAGACGGTCTCACCAGGGGCAATGTGCACTTGTAGAAAGGGCTGGGGGGGAGGGTCTCAGAACTAGCCTAAGCAGGGGTAGGGGTCTGCAGGCCAAGAAGGCAGCATTGGGTTATGAGAGCAAGGCAGATTTCTATTTTTTTTTATTTATTTTTATTTTTTAGCCAATCAGAACAACAATATTTTTAGCCACTTCATGTTTATTAGCCAATCACAACAATTTATTTTTAGCCAATCACAACAGCAATAATAAAAATCTTTAATCCATTTCAAATGTATGTGTTTTTGACCTTTCACAGTTAATCATGTACTAGAGGTAGGAGATTGTCCTTCTAAATAGTTCTTTCCATTCTCCTACTAATTACTCAATCTAGATTTCTGTGATGTCCTGACTGAACTTAAACAGTTTTCTCCTAGCTTGCTTTCTTTTTCTCAGCTTCTTGGCTTCCAATCCATTCTGTGTTCTTGGCCTTATCTTTCCTTGAGCCCCATTCCTATCATCCATCACCTTTCCTGAGATGAAAAGGATCCAATGCAGTAAGTCCCAACTCCACTACTCAGGTGTTCCATGATAGAATACTACTCACAGCCTGGGCCAGGTAATTGTTTTTTTGTGTTATAATACAATGTCCTGAGAGTGAAAAGATAGCAGCAATTCTGATCTCTACCTGCTAGATGCCAGTGGTCCTCACCCCTCCACTGTTTTGATAGCCAAAAAGATTACCAAGTGTCCCAGAGGTAGGTAACAAAGTCACCCCCACTGAGAACCACTAGTCTTCCTATCTTCCCAAGTGCAGGTGCTTCTGAAGGAGCTAATGGCGGGAGCTCCCCTTACATCTAGGTGTCAGCTGCTCTGGAGTCCTCATTACAACCACCTATCATCTCCACCCGTGGAACTGTGCAGCTTCTGGCTGGAGCACCAGGCTCTGTGGTTTGCCATTTGACCCTCCCCCAATGAGTGGCTAAGGCCAAAACAGCTGGGGTGACCCAACTCCATTGGTGTCATAGACTGTGAAGAACCACAGGCCTCTTGCTAGGTGAAGCAAGGACAGAAATTGCTGTCCTGTTCTGTGGTGGTATTGGTATGTGAGCAATGTCTATGTCAGCCCTTGAAAGGGCTCCTTAGAGATGCAATTAGAACAGGGAATATAACCAGGAACATCACTGTCTTTGGATAGATAGATGCCCACAATCCAGGCAAGGGAAGGTGTTAAGCAGTAGAAACTCCCAGGCCTCAGCTTTATGGTCCCAGTATACACCAAGGAAGCTGCATTCTGGGTAATCTTTAAGTGGACTTGGTCTCTGGAGCATTGGTGAAACCACTGGCAGCTACCCAGGTCTTCGGTGGAGCTGAGCCCTCACAAGACACCTCAGTTTTGTCTTATTTTTCTGGGCGCCTAAAGAAGTGCATCAGTCAGCATGAGGTGGGCAGGCATTGCACAGGTGTGCTGAGACCTAAGCAGCCTAGGTGGGGGCAGGAATGGGGATCTGGCACATTCTATTGTTTGTTTGTTTACCTACAGTCCAGAGAGGAGCCTCTCCTGGTCTGTCTATTATGCTTGAGTGCTCACATTAAGAGATCCTTCCAACTGAGGCTCCTTGCTTCAAAGCTAGAAGTTTCTGTGAGTCAGTCCCCAGCAGAGATTGGATTTTATTCCCCAGTAGCAGTAACTGGCATCTTTTCAATGTGGCCAGAGGGCTTTTCATTAGAGCCACAAGGAAACTACCAGATAGGGAGGAGGAGGAGGCAAAGGAGCCAGGTGTTAGTGGGAGATAAAGGAAGCCCAGAGCCTGATTTGTCAGTGGTTCTTCTTCACAGAGGAAGTACCTGGGAGGGGGCAGCTGGCCAGAGGTGAAAGCTGAGCTCTCTCAGGTGGGCCAACAGAGTCCCATCCCAGATCATGTTTCCCTGGGCTGGCTCGGATGAGAAGTGGTAATTAGCCAGAACTGCATCCCCTGAGAAAAGGTTCCCATGGGGGGGAGGGGCATGTATGTTGTTTGGGTTGTTGTTGTTGTTGTCCTTTCAGTTCTGTGAGAACTGGGTAAAAGGAGGCAACTTGTGATATTTATGGTCAAGTTCTGCAAAGAGAGTCAGGGTAAGGTGGAGTTCAAGGGTTCAGCCAGCCCCAGCACAGCGGAAGAGGGAGCTTTGCAAACTAAAGGTGCAGAACAGCCCTTTGGGGGGATGAATCGGAAGCCCTTGTGGAAGCCATTCCTGTTTTCTAGCTAATGAAATGAGTTGCTTTATCTCTGGACACCTTAGCCTACCCCTCTTTCAGAGAGGAGGGAGTAATTGTGCTTAATTTACAAGTTTGTGGGTTAGCAAGAGTTTGTTCCAGTACTGGACACTCAGTACTCATACAGTGAATGGGAAGGGTTATGGTGTTTCCATGTGGTGATTACTGGCACTTTGGAAATGAGATGCAGGAAACTGAATGAACTGGTGGTGTCTGTGTGCTTAGGGGAATAGTGAGCAGAGGTTGCAAATGCCATTCTTCTCACCCACCTTACCTCTTTCCTCCATCTCCTTCCCAGGGAGCTTGCAGGCTGCCCCAAGTGGGCACTGCAGACCCCAATCTGCGACTTTAGGCCTGTGGCATGGTAAGAAGCCTGGGGTAAAGCAGAGTTGCATACCTCATGGTGGCCAGGAAGCAAGGCTAAAGAAGGGGAGGGAGGGGCCAAAACCCCTTCCAAGTGCCCATCCCCCATGACCTCAATATGCCCTTTTTCCTGAATATTTCTCCTGGGTTTTTCCCACATATCTTTGAGGGACATTTATGATCCTGAACTATGACAGCCCCTTTGGCCCTTCATCTCATCTTGGTTCTCTAGGCAACTGAAGTTGTCAAATAAATGAGATCATTCTCCTCTTTGCAAGACTCTATTTCTATTCACCCAAATCTTATCACACATGACAAACCAACTTTGAGAATGCAAAAATCCATACATTTTAGTTCCAAATTGTACAGCGTCTCTGCCCTGTTCCCCAGAGCCTTGACCCCATCCTCAGTGTCTTTGAGTTATGCCTCAGTTGCTGCAGGTGTGCTATACTGCTGGCATGCAGAGAGATCAGATCGTTTCATTTTCTGTCTGTCGTAGGTGGCTCATCCTCACCCCATTACTGGGAGCCATTTGTGCGTCACAGCTGACTGGCAAATTGATTTTTTTTTTAAACCATCATCATGCTTGCCAATCTCTGAGATCGACGCTGCTCCCTGCAATTGGATGTTGGTTCCTCCTCTGCCTCCTGACCCTGGATGATCATGAAATGTAATTAATGAAATGAGATAAGACAGAGAGGCATGCAATACCCCAAGGCTCTATTAAAAACCTGCTAGAGTGATAGAAGTCAGTGCACTTAATGTCTAATGATAGGTTCAGGGGAGGGGAAAGAAAGGAGGCCAAAGAAGTCATTACAACTGTGTTTTTATGTGATTGTAGAAACCATGGGGTCCTTGCTTTCTCCTTTCTCCCAGCCCATTGTAGGTGATAGGAAAAAAAGAAAAATCTACATTTTAAAGGTAACATTACAACCAAGATGTCCCTATCTAGGCTGAAATCTGGAATCTATAGCCTATGTAAGAAGAGCTGCCAGGATTGCTGGCCTAGCATGTGCTCTGAAATCCATCTTCACACTCCTCCCCTTATCCCAAAGTTGTTCTGTTGCATAGTTTCTCTAGGGAGCTATCTCTTTCAGGCGGTCTTTATATTGTCTCTCTATCCAACCTTTTGCAACCTGAAGATTCATTGTTCACTTATTAATGGAAACCAAACTTCCTTC